TACAGGATATAAATGGTTAAGGTGCTGACAGACCAACATCCTTGTGGGAGGAAACCGACTTTGTAGATTTTCCTATTTATTGAAAATATTCTGCTGTGTAAACATCTAAGATCATTAGCAGCGTAAAGAAAACATAGCAATCAGGTGAGGCTTGGGCGAAGCTCCTTGGTAGCATTATGACACAGTATTGTGGTAAAGAGCTTATAAATGAGTTAACAGTTATGACAGAAAATGCTAGATGTCAAAGGGTGTAGAGAGCTGTAGGTTAGTATTGTAAAAAGGGTAAAGATGGAATAGCAAATGGAGTACAAAGGCCATTTAGGACTGAACAGAGTCAGCCTTTCATCCATTCAGCATGCCTCTCACATTTTAGGCTATGGACAGTAGGAGATGAAGAAGAGAGGGAAAACTAAAGGTGGAGAAGAAAAGACCTTGCAAAATTTCTAGAGGCAAGGGCTGCTGTCCAAGGCAGGGGTGATCCCCCATATTGGGCCTCAGTCATCGTCTCCTGAGCCCCTCCACAACAACAGGAATGGGATTAGGAAGGAGACTTTGTAGATGTTAGTTTCCCAGGAAGAAAAAGCTTTGTATGCAAGTATTCTAGTGTACAGTGGAAGGTCACTAAAGATTCACCTGGGATGAAAATGGTATGTACCTGACTGAGGCAATTATCAAATGGGAAACTCAAGCTTACCATGGTACCAAAAGGGATCAACATATCAAAAGGATTTTAAGCATTTAAATACTTTTTAAAAGTTTCACCTTCCACTTGGAATTTTTTACCATTTTCTCTACAACAATTTTATAACAGGTGATTGGATAATAAACACATCTAATGTCAAGTTAGTTTAATAACAGGTAAGTCTTGCAGAGCAAAGGCACCTAGGTATTACATTTTCTTCATAATACCAAAGATATGCAAAGGGACAGCCAGGTTCTGGGGACAAAACTTTTATTCAGGATCAGTGGCCTTCATGTGAATGTTTTTTGTAAAAATTTATCACAGCTGTTTACAACCAATGGCTTGTTGGTACTATTTGTACCTTTCTGTTTGTGTTGTGTTAGAGATATATGTCCAAAATAAAAACAAATCGAGCCCTACTTAACTGAAATTTCTAAGGTTCTTTGTCAGCTCCCTTTGACTGAAAATATATAGCATTTAAAACATTTTCAATTTTAAAACACTATAGATGCACTGTGTTCTCCATTCTTCATATGGGCCTTCTATGCTCCTTCTGTTTTAAGGATGCAATGAGCAATATGTCATTAACAACAGCATCATTTCAGAACTAAAAATTGTATGACATGCTATAAAATATAAGCAATACAGAGATTTTGCTGAGCCTTAAAACTACATGATATCTTTTTCAGTCTTCTCAAGCTTCACTTATACTGATTTAATGCTATATATTGCACATTTTTAACACAAATGTAAGCTTCAGCATATACAGGAGAATCTGTTGTGACTGAATAACAGGTAATTTTAGAGGTAAGCAAGAATGGAATTTTATTTAATCATTGTTTGTGTTTAGCTTTATTATTCCATACAAATCTGACCAAATATCTGAGCCTTAAAATTTCAAATACCATAAGTTATGTATCAAATCCATTGTCTTTACAAATCTAAATATATTCAATATATTGTTTCTTCATGACATGATTGTTATTCTAGAAAAGTGAAAAAATCTGTACATAATCTTAAATTTAATTTCCCTTTTTTCATGAATCAATTGCAGAGAATTTCCTCTTATTATGCTGATCAACCATAGTGGAAGTGGTGAGGATGTGAGCTCTGCGGGACAGCCACAACTGGTGATCCTGGAGAGCTTTCTGGCCAGCATGGAAGAGTGTCCTCTCAAGCTCATCTAATTTAGCAATCTGGGCATTTACATCGTCCCTTAGAGAGTTCTGTGCAGAGTCCATTATTCCTCGTAAGCGTTCTCTAAGAGTCTGCAATATTACAAAAAAGGTGTGGTTATTCCTTGCTTGTTGCTCTTTGGTACTAGCTAAAAAAATATAAAAAAATCAAGCAATTTAATCAAATAAATTATATGTATTATACATCATTTCAGAACTTTAAAAGAATGCTTAAAGTAACCCACTTGTGTCAAAAGTGAGGCTAGCGCTGCTGCCTCAGGTCCCGCTAGTGGTAGGAGATGCTGTCCTAACTCATAGTAGTGGGGTCCAAGCTTGTGCAAATCTACGACACTTGCATCAGCTTTCATAATTTCTCTGAAGAATGTTTGAAAAAGATTAATTCTGCTTTATTTCCCTTGGTACATAAATTATTCATATACAAATTTGCAAACTTTTGAAATAATATTCTTGTCTCTTAAATTTAAGGTAACCATCTGGTTGGCAAATTTCTGCCTTTTGGAATCTCCCCTAAATTTGATAAGTCCCACCCCCCCTAATTTTTTAAGCACCCAGAGAGGTACATCGCTAATGAGCGCCCAGGTACAACTATGTGGACTTTTGCTTGCGGCAATCGTGCATAAGG